GTATTTCACTAGCAAAAGCAGACCGGAGGTTAAAAGGGATTTGCTGCCCTCTCCCGAGCGAGTCCCAGTTACGTGTCACTGCGGTAGCAGCTCTGGAGATTGACTTTCCCTCGGTGAGCACAGCTGTTCCCAGGCAAAAGGAATGACATCGATGTGGCACCAAACAGCTGTGCCAGGGCAGGTTAGAAGTGACCATCAGCCCTTTCAGGCGAGGACACAGAGCAGCTCCACAGCCCGAACCATTAGGGATCCACAGAGGCCATTACTGGCATTTCAATTTCATTGCTCTCAGGTGAATCCTCCTCTGTGGAGGAAATACCTCCCAGCATGTTCTGTTCTCAATAGTCACAAATATTGTAGAGCAGAAGCAGACCACAAGGTGCAAAGAAATAGGAAAAACATTACTTTAAGATTTAAGAGGGTGATTTGGTGGGTTTTTTGGACTAAAGCCATTTAAATTTGTTATTCGTTATATTTTAATATGTTAGCAGCACTCGATCCTGTCCTTCCAGGGAGCATATAGCTTTATCTAGACATACAGTATGTACACACACACTATCTTCAGAGCAAACCTCAACACTGCAACCTGCTGCTTTCAAGGCAATTCTCCAAGATAACGAATCATTCAGAGAAACCTGTTGAATTAGCCTGTGCTCTCCATTAAAGCCCTCCAAAATCAGGCCTTTGAGCCTGAGGGAACTGCTGTTTCTATATGCAAATATACAAAAAAAAGGTAAAAGCCGCTTCTAAACATTTCTAAAATATTTGTGCTCCCATATACCCTAGAGCAGACAAGATGCCCCATGATGTGGAGTCACACTGCTTTGCTTGGCACTCTCTCTGGGATGCCCTGCATGCTTCAATCCTGAAGGGAAATGACAGATTTGAAGAAGGCCAGGTAGCCTCATACTAATGACCATGAAAAATGTCTTGTACAGTTTGTAAACAATGCAACAAATCCCAGATCAGGCTGCCACCATGGCATCCATCAAACATTCTCACTTGTGCACAAGCACAGCATACAGCTGTGACCATGTGAGACAGGGACGTGCTATGCTTCTCCAGGACTTTCCTCCACATGGTCTCCCCAGCTGCTGCATGGAATTGGCCTGTCCCAGTGGCAAAGCCTTGAAGTGGATGATAACAAGTTGTTCTCCACATGTACAAATGTGATATTTTCAACAGACACATGAGGATGCAGAACCTATGAAAGTGTAAGTAAAAAACAGGGGCAGGTTCCCAGGAGTCACATGGACAATCTGTAAACAAGTACCTGCAGTAATCTTGAAGCAAAACAGAGCAATTAACACCATATGGCACAGGGACTGAAAATCTGATTCTCTGTGGGATTATGGGCTAAAATTCTCTAGACTCCAAAATCAGCTTGCTTTGCGTTCAAGCCCTCTTTTACTCTGCAAATCATTCAGAAGTCACCATGAAGACAACTGAGAAACAAGGCATTTGGAAGAAGGAAGAACCAGTGTGCCCTTCCCAGTGCCATCTATCAACCATTTGGTCTTTCAGTTAGGAAGTGCTGACCTGCTTTTTAGACACCTCAGGTTTGGAGCTCTGCATTGTGGAGGCTGCAAACATTTTGGTGTGGTCTCAGGTTTTTTTAACCTGGTAACTTTCAGAGAAAGGTGCTGCTTTGGAAGCATCTGAACCTTTGGCAGTGCAGTAGCCTGTCCAGCAGGCCTGGCAGCCCAATCCTCCATGCCCAGGTGTTGGATCAGCCTCGATACTAGGAAGTTATTTGCAAAACAGCTTTATAGGCTGTGTTTATCTTTGCCATATTTTACTACTGTTTCCCTTCCAAAGCCTCTGTACAGCCTTGGACAGTCCCTCCTTCCAGAAAGAAAACCAGTCTTCCCTTCAGCAGCATCACAGCAGATCCTCTGCTGGCCAGTGGAGCAAGAAAGCATCTGTGACATGCAGCTTCCTGAGCCAGGAGGAGCCAAGACATGCAGGCTCTAGATTTACGGATTATAGATGCTGCCGTGGAATACAGATCACTCTGCCCTCCGTGCAGTTCATTACCACATTGCTATGGCTGCTCACATTCTTCACAGGTGCAAATGATGCCAAAAAGGCTTTTTACCTTTCACGTGCCAAGACTTAATGATGCAGAGTCAGGACCCCTCCTGCTTTCCCTGGGAAGCGAAACCAAATTCAGCAGTTGTTCTGCCTTTATGGGCACACTGAGCCCTGAAGGATTTCTAGCCCCCACAGCAGTGCTGACAGGCAGTCACAGGGCTGGGATCGTGCCTGCTCCCAGCCCAGCCTCTCCCAGCAGCTGAACCCTGCCTATGGCACTGTCAGCACTGCCCACGTGCACTAGCAACATGCTCTAACCCAGATAAATTCAGCTACAAATCTGCAGGCAAACCCGGGGATTCATTCTGCCACACCAAGCACACTTTGCAACAGCACTGGGACAGCTAAGGACCTTTGACATCGCTTGTATGCATCAGTAAAAGAAAAGGACTTCAACAACAAGCATAAATCAGCTAAAATAACAGTATAATTGACCTAAAGAAATTACAAGGAAGGAGTGAAGGGAAAACAATGAGTTGTGCTGCTTCCTTACAGATCTGCATCTTGATTCTGGGAAAAGGACAGTGGGGAGGAACAAGCCAGAAAATAGGCTTTCTATTACTGTGCAAAGTTTGTTCCTCAGGGGAAAATAAATTTTAAAAATACAACAGTACTTAAAAATCAGTGATTTGAGAGCGTTTAGGCCTCATGGAGCACCAGTTTGGGCATCTGAAAGGAATGGAGCTGTGTCCCCTCTCAGAGCCCACGGTCATGCCCATATTGCAGGGGATGCCAATGTACAAGGTGCATTGGCTAACGTCCAGCAAAGTGCAATGCCCAGAAGGAAAAACAAATCTGAACTGCACCTCCATTTCCTGGGGTGTCTTACAGCCAGTGAGGTCAAAGTCACAGGGGCTAGTGCTGGAGGGATATAGAGCAGAGCAATGAAAATTTGGAAAGAGACACCACTTACCTCAGCCAGGCTGGTCCTGACACACACAGCACAGGGATTGTCTTCCTCAGCCTTCGACAGCATCTGCCCTGCTGCACGTGAGAGCACTCACACTGCACACAGGGCTCTGTCTTCCCCTCAGCTCCTTCTCACGAGCACCTGCAGCTTCTCACTGCAGCACTCGGTGCTTTTGGGGCCAGCACAGCCCCCTGAGCTGAGCTGAAGCAGCCTGAGGCAGAGAAGCACCAGGACTCCTTTTCCCCTCAGGCAGCTCCAGAGCACCCAGACCAGCTCTTTCCACCCCCTCACGAGCTTCCCTCAGTGGCCTCATGCTGCTGCACCTGTGCCATCACTGCCACCACCTGTGCCATCACTGGCCAGTCACCTGTGCCATCACTGCCCCCACCTGTGCCATCACTTCCCAGTCACCTGTGCCATCACGGCCCCCACCTGTGCCATTACTTCTCAGTCACCTGTGCCATCACTGCCCCCACCTGTGCCATTACTGCGAGCTTCCCTCAGTGGCCTCATGCTGCTGCACCTGTGCCATCACTGCCACCACCTGTGCCATCACTGGCCAGTCACCTGTGCCATCACTGCCCCCACCTGTGCCATCACTTCCCAGTCACCTGTGCCATCACGGCCCCCACCTGTGCCATTACTTCTCAGTCACCTGTGCCATCACTGCCCCCACCTGTGCCATTACTGCTCAGTCACCTGTGCCATCACTGCCCCCACCTGTGCCATCACTGCCCAGTCACCTGCCCCTGGTTGTCCCATCACTGTCACCACCACTGCCCTGGTGTCCCTGGGAAATGGGTTCTTCTCATGGCTGAGCTCCATTTCTGTGTGGCCTGAGAGCTCTGCAGGAGAATGAAACCCCCATGACCAGGGTTGGGGACTGAGGGCACAGGGTGTTCACCCCTCAGCTGTGCTGACCCCAATAAACCCCCTCTCTGCATCACAAAGCAATAATCAGCCACTCAGTGGCACTAGAAGAAACTCCTCACTTCGCCTGGCCCATGGTAGACACCAGCAGTTCCAAAGTTTAACCCTATGGTGCACTCTGGCAACATTTCCACCTGTCCTCAGGATTTGCTTTGCTTGGCACAAAGTCTGAGTGTGAGGAACTCCAGGGAGCACAACAGCATGCAAGATATCCAGCACTGAATAGAAAAATAAGCCATTTACATCATCATGCATCATTATTTTATTTCAATTTTCATTTGCTTCAAAGATATTTAAGGGACACCACAACCAGCAGTAGGCACATGAGTGGGGTTTGCAGTTTGAGCCTCTGAAGATCAGATCTCTTGTGCCAGGTGCTTTACAGACACAGTCAAACAAGTCTTGCCTTCAGCATGACTTTCTCATAAACATTCCGGGCCCGTCTCACTCAGCTGAAGTCAGTCATTAAAACTAAAAGTAGATTAAAAGGAATGCAGTTAAGGCAAAATGAGTGGGCTTCTAAATACTCCCTCCCCCGAAAGAACACTGGAAAAGATGCAACAAGCAAGAAAAAATATCCTTTCCTTTTACTGATGGGAAAACCAAGGCAGGAGAAGTCTAAAGACACCTGTCCAAAGATCCAAAGGCAATCTGTGGTAGCACAAGGAAACTGTATTTCTTCATTTTCCTAGTCCAGTATCTTAACTGTTCAATGCTCACATCTGTTCTCACCTGACCCAACAGAATCAGAACCATCCTGGGAAGTATGGCTGAAAGATTCTAGCATAGGAGGGATCAAGCACCATAGCCCCTTTGAGCTTATGAGCTGTTTGAGGCAGTTCTGATTGCTGTAGTTTATGATTTCCATAGTCTACGAAACCAGAACCACTTCCAGCTCAGCAAAGCAATCAAGGTCATGCTAAAGAGTTTAAAGCATTAAGAAACCACAAGATTAGGTCTTCAGAAACACAGCAAGTGTCTGATCAATTCAAGTCCTGATTGAGACTGCAGTCAGGATCAGTTGCTGCACTGAATTGTCCCCTCTGGGTATCACAAACCACAGGACCTTGGCACAGCATCCCCCAAGGGGAGAAGGGTCTTCAGTTTTGTGATGTTAATCATTGTTGTAGGGGTTTCTTGAAGAAGATACCCAAGGGTCTACCTGCTGGTATAGTTCTTGGGTGGTGCTCCGGGCTTCAGAGGTCATTCTCCGAAATTTCTGCACGTAGACAATGATGAAGATACCCAAGATACCCTGGAGGAAAAGGAGGATGAAGAGACAGAGCTGAGAGAGGAGAGCCAGGCTGCAGTACCAGTGCTGGCATGTGGAGACAATCTCGTCTTCTGTGAGATAAGCAATGATCCGGTCCTGCAGGTGAGCTGGGGATCTGCATCTCACATCCCTGTACAGGGTGCGGTTCTGCTGCCACTGGAGCCAGGAGCGCAAGTAGAGGATATCACAGTCACATTCCCAAGGGTTGCCCTGCAGATAGACTACCTGGAGGCTGTTAAGGTTGTCAAAGAGCCCATTGGGAATAGAGGTGAGCCTGTTGTTACCAAGGTGGATAATTTCAGCTGAAGGACGGAAAGCAGCAGGTAGTTTTTCTACAGTTAGGTCTTTTGAGGTGCAGTCAATAATGTTGGTGGCACACCGGCATGGCACAGGGCATATGGGTATCACGAGTGGAAGGAAGCCTAGGAGGGTGAAGAAGAGAATTCCACTGTTCATCTTCACCTGCAAACACTTCTCTGCTGAGACCGGATGAGGTGGAGACCAGGCAAGTAGACACCACACACTCTAGGCCTGACACCTTCACAGGAGATGTGAGAGCTCTGAAAAGAAAAAAGTTAAAAGAGGTGGGCAAATTCTTGGTCTCTCATTATAGGAGAAGAAATATTCATGGTCTTTCAACCCTGGATTTGAAGAGATATATGAACACATGGCTACTGGAAGGCTTACAGGCAGTCATCAAATTCATTTTCACTACTCAGAAGTGCACAAGAGCTGCTTGTATTTTCAGTGTTACTGGAGGCAAATTACTAGAGTAGCCAAGAAAATTTCTGACATCAAAAACTGGAATATGAAGCAGCTCATGCCTTATCATAGCTCTGAATTATATCTGTAAGCAAAGCTTTGTTCATGCATACTGCAAAAGGAGATTCAGAAGTAAAATTACAAGTACAAAATAGTCTTTCCAGTTTTGAAAAGAAGTGATAAACAGTCCTTGGCCTCAGAGAGGGTGTTGACCACTGAGGGTGGAGGTCAGTGCAGTTTTCCATGCTAGACACTGTACTAGCAGGTGAATAATCAGCAGGTGAATGATCTCCTTCTGGAGCTGTGACTGTGCTGGGAGACATGGGTCAATGGACTGTCTTTTTATTACAGACTCATTCTACTGCTGAACACATGAGCTGCTATACCTTCTCCAGGAGAACAACTACACATTCCTGCAACAAGGCAGTGCTTTCCTGTGCTGTCAGCCAAATAAAAATAAAAAAACTCCAAGAACAGAAGGTAGATTTGTTGACTTACCAGAGTAGTTTGATCTTCGCTTTCTTGCTGGCTTTACAACACAAGAGGAAGGTCTCCAGGCAGTCCAGCCAGTGCAAGAGTGTGTGCAGCTGCATAGCTGAACTCCCAGATAACCCCCTTGCAGCTAGCTGGCTGGCAAGATAAGAGTCAGGCTCATCCCAGGGACACCTCCCACACAAGGCCTTCCTGCAATTCTGTTGCACATCACCGGAACCTGAGGCTTCATTGAGCAAGTCTTCCAAGAAATGGGAACGGACACTGCTTACAAGAACATGTTTGCTGGGAGAGATGCTGACAGCACTGGTAACTGTGATTCTGGGCCCACACGCTGCGTCCAACAGAAACATTGTGAAGTCTCAATTGCAAAGCAGTAACTCAAAAGCATTTCAACCTGGAAGACATCATTACTGGTTTGCACCACACTCCCTGAGCACTGTGGCCTTTGGTTTCCCATCTCAAGACTGCACTTGGCAGAGTAGTGAGCACTTTTCTGGGTGCTGACCCTCAGGTTTCCCTTGAAGCAGTGACACAAATCTACTCCTACTTGGTAGTGAAAGACCTGCTGACAGATATGTACTTCCAGTCCATCTGTTTTTGCAGAGAAAGATCCTCCAGACACTTGCATCCTCTCATTATTGTTATAGGGGTAAAATATAACTTGTGGCGTTTCACCGTCTACATCAAAACAAACTGGTTGGTTTCATATGAAGGCCAAAAGCCTGGGAAAGACAGTGCTCTGAGTGTCTGCTCTTTGGGAAGCCAAGTGAGTCTGCAGCTCTCAACGAGTGCAGTGTGCAGTTACTAAGACTGACCACATGTTTTATTCAGAGGCTGCATTACACAAATACTTAAACAGGTAAGTCCAAGAGTCAAAACTACATTTAGGTGGAATCCACTCTTCCCATGGCCATGACACCTTCACAGACATTTTTCTATCATCAGCCTGACCAGGCCTTCACTATACTCCTTAGGCTAAGGCCACCAGGATTACATTGTGAAACTCTTGCCCCACTGGGCCCAACTCTCCATAACCTTGTATTATGCACATCATACAGAGCAGAAACAATGAACACCCTAAACTGTGCTCATGTTAAGAGAATTGATGATGTAAACAACAGCAGAATTTGTTCCTAACCAAGGAAAAATCTTTGATGCTTTAAAGAAAATAATTGAGCTTTAAAAAGTTGTGCTTTAAAGAAAATAATTGAGCTTTAACTTTCTAGAAAGTTGGAGCAGATCATTCCAGTTATTTCACTGTGGTGGGCAGGCAGAGTGGGAAAGGGATCTTAGGCTAACGAACCAACTAACAAGTTTTTCTTGCAGGGCCTGCTTTCCACTTGGGAGCAGCTTGACTACCACAGGCCAAGTTTGCTCAGCAAACTTTCCTCATCTCATGCACTTGGTGCTATGTTTGCTCACAGGCAGGTGTTCAGGCCAGGCATGGCATGGAGCTGGTCTAGAGACAGACTCATTGTGGCTCTGCACACTGCACGGACTTGACAATGCTCCACTTACAAACTGGATTTCGTGGGACTGGATCCTGCCCATCTGCCCACTGCTGATTTAGACACCACTCCTATAGAAGGCTTCAAGATCATCTTGTTAGCTTCTGACATAAACTGGCCAGAAATCCCATGCAGGAAGCCCTGCCTGGAGCCTGGTCTGACAGAACTAGATAAACAGGGTCAGTTTTGCTTTCTCCTGCCCATGATGTATCACCAATGCCACTCAAGCAGGCTGAAAATTAAACAGAAGGAGGTTGGTTTTTTGAATGTATTTATTTCACTGATCAATTCAGGTAGTAAACATTAATAATAATAACAATAATCATTTAATAAAATGGATATGTTTTAAAAGGTTTCATTTTTCTTTGTTCACAATGACAAAATGTTCAAACAGAAATTTACAAAAAAATATTATTATAATAACTCAACAGATGGACAGGAAACAAAGAGCCTAGGAATGGAGCAGGGGGTAAGGAAGGTGCATGGCAGGAAGAAGCCAGCGTTAAAGCACAGCAGAGTTTGTGAGGAGGAGCAGGGAACGCCATCGCAGAGCACAAAGAGTGGGGTCCCCTCTTTTGAGGGGAGGCATGCAGGGAGGCAGCAAGGACTGCACAGGCAGGACCAGCACAGCAGCGGCACGGAAGGAGTTCATGCCATGGCTCCAGGCCCAGTCAGGCACAGGGGCCAAGATGTACCGACAGCCCCAGCTGCAGCCTGGGATAGCCCTGCAGAGTGGGACACCATCCCTGCAGCCACTCACTCAGCAGGGCAAAGCTTGGCAGAGGCGTGGGAATGTGCTGGAGGTGTAGGGATTGCACATGAGGCTGTGGAGGGTTGCATGAGGGGAGGTGTTAAATTACTTTCCTATCCACACTTCTTGCTGCCAGAGTCAAATGGCCAAGCCACATGTGTTCAGGAGTCTCTTCCGCACTTACTGTGTGACTTGATGTCACAGTACAAAACACTCCTTTAATAAACAGATGCCACCTTCCAGGCTAGAGTCTGAACCCCTGGTGCCCCCCACAAATCAGTCTCTAATCCCTTTCCAAGCAGCCCCCAAACTCTGGCACTCTGAGCAGGGAATCTCTACATGGAGATGTGATTTCAGAGGTACCACTGCCCCTCTGTAGAAGCCATCTCTGGTGCCTCACTCCTGTGTGCTTTTTCCTAAATGCGACTTGAACCATCTTTGCCAACTGGTAGTCAAAGGTTTCAGCTCTCTGTAGAGGACAGACTTATGACTATTGACTTGATGTAGGAGCCATGTGCACTGACCTGATGGCGACTTCCTCACTTGGAGGGACAGGGGCAGATCCACCCTCAGCAACCCTACCTTGCCTGTGACCAGTGCACAGCCCAGCATAAAAGTTGTTGGCTGCTCTATGTCCATGCTAAAGGGTAAAGGTCTCCTTTATCTTCTAGGACTGAATCTGTTTAAAGGAGGAATGTCTCCAGCTGGACAGGGCTCATTTGCAACAGAACACCCTCCTCACCAACAAGACTAGTGTAACAAAAGAAGAGACAGGTACTTCAAGGTGTTTCCTGTTATACCAGCACAGACAAAGCTAAGAACTCAGCAGACCTCCAGCTTTGGACAGCAGCAAAACAGCTCCAGAAAACCTGGAGAAAGCTTCTGTTTCAGGCTACTCCACCACTTGATCAAGCACATCATGCAAAGAAAGGTTTTATTTCCTCCTTAGGCACCTTGGTTCTGCATGTTACTGAAGCCAAGCTGAACCCTTCTGCTCTCCTAGGCTAGCACTGCCACTTATGAGCCCAAAATAGGGGAGAATGAAAAAAACAAAAACCCAAACACTGTTAGACACTGCTCTTGCCCAGCTTGCACAGTTCTGCCGAGGGGCTTCCACCCTCACTTTGTCCTTCCACATGGTGCCAGGATCTCTCCCCTGCCCCTACAGCCCATGCTCTGGATAAGCAGAGACTCTGTACAGTGAATAACTGGAACCAGCCAAACTACTCACCACCTAGATAAGTCCTGACCAGGACTCCAAAGTCCCATGGGGGAATCAGACAGACACAATGCCTAATAACAGAATTTATGGCCTGACTATTCCTGGCCAACCCCGTGCTTCCTACCCAGGGAGATCTACTGGGGAGAGCCAGAGATGGAGGAGCAGATACAAAAGGGGAAAGGGGACAGAGGAATCAGCCAAGGAGCAGAAGGGCCCAGCCCATGGCAGCACTCCCTGGAGTCAGAGGGAAGACCAAGTGTCTCTCACTCCAACAGCCCTGATTCCCTGCGAGCACGGCAGTGTTGCTGGTGAGCCCTGCCCTGTCAGGCACATCACATTCTGGGGCTCTGCTCTGGCTGAGTAAAGTTAAAAATACTGCAGGAAGCAAGAACAAGACAGGAGCTGCTGACCAAAAAGTGCTCTTATCTCTGCCCAGCAGATCCAACAGCCTTCCCAATATTAAGACAGGAAGACCCCAGGACTAGGGAAGGAGAGAAGGGATAAGTGCAGGGGAAGTGCAAGGGAGCAAGTGCCAAGTCTGCTGGGCTGTGCCCAGCCCCACACAGTGACACTGCTGCACCTGCCATGCTACCCAGCACCTGCCTGGACAGGCAGCCTACAGACCTCGGGTACAAGCATACAAAAACTGACCCTTCCCCAGGAGAAGCTCAGAGCCAGCAAGGTGCTTGTGGGACTGCAAAGCCTGGGGATAGGGCACAGGTCTGCATTCAGGGTTGGATTTCAGCCCTAGGGTTCCTACCCCTTCCAAAGCAATCCTGACCAAGCACTCTGGCTGCCA